CCGCTTTCGGCTCAGGACGGGCCCTTTGTATGCACTCTTGCTCCGTTCACAAGTGAGGACGCAGAGAAGGGCGCAAAAGATCCAGGCATGAGGACTCATAGCAGCAGAGAGGAGATCTGACCCATGAACCCTGAGACAAAACAACAGCACAGAGTCATATAGACTGTACTTATGGTGCTGTACATCTGTGGCTTAGATTTGACAGGGTTGGACGGTAACACAATAATTACAATCATTATCATACAATTATAATCCATCATTATACGTTTAATTCCAAAAAATAGGTGTTTTGAAAGTACTAGAAAAGTAATATGTTTGAAAATATTTTTGTCATTTTTAATTCTTTTAACTTTTTGGTTGTTTCAATCTGGTTTTAGATCCCTATATAATCACAAATTATATGTTGCTTGATCTAGATTAAGGCTCATATGCTGCTTTTGCTTTGTTGGATCTGAGCATGGCATTTGATACCATTGACCTTTATATTCTTCACTAATGTCATATGGTAGGTATCTAGGGCACTGCACAGGGTTTGCTTCTTACCTTGAGAACAGGACCTTTTTTTGTAAATTTGGGAATTTTTCTTCATCATCTGCTCCTTTGTGGTGTGGCGTGCCCCAGGGATCCGTTTTGGGACCTTTATTAGTTCCCGTTTATGTACAGAGAGGAGATCTGAGATCTATAGATCTAGTTTATATACAGTGGGTACGGAAAGTATTCAGACCCCCTTAAATTTTTCACTCTTTGTTATATTGCAGCCATTTGCTAAAATCATTTAAGTTAATTTTTTTTCCTCATTAATGTACACACAGCACCCCATATTGACAGAAAAACACAGAATCGTTGACATTTTTGCAGATTTATTAAAAAAGAAAAACTGAAATATCACATGGTCCTAAGTATTCAGACCCTTTGCTCAGTATTTAGTAGAAGCACCCTTTTGATCTAATACAGCCATGAGTCTTTTTGGGAAAGATGCAACAAGTTTTTCACACCTGGATTTGGGGATCCTCTGCCATTCCTCCTTGCAGATCCTCTCCAGTTCTGTCAGGTTGGATGGTAAACGTTGGTGGACAGCCATTTTTAGGTCTCTCCAGAGATGCTCAATTGGGTTTAAGGCAGGGCTCTGGCTGGGCCATTCAAGAAAAGTCACAGAGTTGTTGTGAAGCCACTCCTTCGTTATTTTAGCTGTGTGCTTAGGGTCATTATCTTGTTGGAAGGTAAACCTTCGGCCCAGTCTGAGGTCCCGAGCACTCTGGAGAAGGTTTTCGTCCAGGATATCCCTGTACTTGGCCGCATTCATCTTTCCCTCGATTGCAACCAGTCGTCCTGTCCCTGCAGCTGAAAAACACCCCCACAGCATGATGCTGCCACCACCATGATTCACTGTTGGGACTGTATTGGACAAGTGATGAGCAGTGCCTGGTTTTCTCCACACATACCACTTAGAATTAAGGCCAAAAAGTTCTACCTTGGTCTCATCAGACCAGAGAATCTTATTCCTCACCATCTTGGAGTCCTTATGCAG